AATGCCTTCTTGTTGTGCAATGCTGTTGTGCAATGCCTTCTTCTCTAGTGGAAGTTCTGTCAGCTCCCAAGTCTGATTCCCTGACAGGAAATCCATCTTTTTCGGTCACTTTCCCAGTAACGGAAGATGGAATTTCTTCCCATAGAGGTAGTCTTCTATCTACATCCTCCAATAATCAAAATCCGTGTCATCAGACTTCTTGATCCCCGACGTCATCACATCATCTCTGGCCATCAGTTTCCCTCAGATTTGACCTTGAGCTCTAATATCAGTTGTTGTAAAAAAATGTCGGCAATAAAGCTAAAAATCGGATCAAGAAAAAAATTACAAAATAGAAAATAACTTCAGAACACACAGATTTACGTGGTTCGGCAAATTGCCAACGTCCACAAAATTGCAGAGGATTTTATTACTCGAGGATTACACCCGTCGATAGCCTCGACGATTACAAGAAAGAATAATCTCTGTCTTTCTCTCCTCTCATTCTCTCTCTCTCTCTTTCCGAGAGCCACAATCAAGAAGAAGAAATGTCGGAAGGAAACCAAATCTCGAGAGAGATCACAAGAGGAGCTAGCAAGCCTATTTATTAATTTTGTCATGTCATTAGGCCCAATATGAAATTAATCCTGTAATTATGCCATTAAGCCTATTTTATTAATTTTGTCATGCCATTAGGCCCAATTAATTATTTCCTTTTCTATTCTACAACAAATCATAAAAGGAATTAAGAGTAATTCATTTAGCAATTTATTTCGAGTATCAAATCCAATTTGCTGCTAAATATGAGAAAATTCCAATTTGAACAGCATACCGGTTTCCATATTCGCAACACCTTATTCCACTCAATGAACTTAAGAGGATAACCCATATTTTTTTGTTTATTATTGATGAATCTTCTGTTAATAACAAATGCTTTCCTTAGGTTAATTTTAGAGCCTAAATTCTTTGGATGATTAGTAGAATTAAAACCTTGCATTAATCCATTAACCAATATAAGGTTATCAGTTACCACTTGCTGAAAGAAAAATAGCTTGAGAAGAGTGAATAATGTTATGAAGTATAGTTTTGAGCCTTTCAACATTAAATTTAGCAATGAGCTTATAGGTATTATTACAAAAGCAAATGGGCCTATATTCACTGAGATTATGAGCATTAAAGATCTTAGGAATGATATTTAGAGCAGAGTGCTTCACCCTTTTGGACAGTTTTGAGATAATAAAGAAATATTTAATGGTTTTAATGCAATCTTGACTAGTGATTTCCAGTACATCATTGAAAAAATTTGAATTAAACCCATCAAGCCCAAAGATTTATCAATGCAAATATAGAAGTAGGCTTTCTTTAATTTTTTTAAGTTGTAAAATCACCAAGTGTCAAATCAAAATCCTATTGAAACAAAACCTGGCCGATTAGGATATGAATAAGCATGTTAGAATTGAAGGACTGCTTAGAAAGGTAGAAAAGTAGAAAATAACCTCTTGGATAATGCCTTGTTGGGTATTTATGCCTTCATTGTTGGAGAGGATCTCTAATGAATTTTTTTTTTTACTTTTAATCTTATTTTTTTGGTTAAAAAATCTTATTTCATCCTCCCCCTTAAACAACTAAAAATATATAGCTCTTTGCTTAAGTTATGAGTTTTCACAAGAAGTGGCTTCAAGAAAGCGTATTTTGGATGTGTATGCTATGACAAAAGTGGTTGTGCATCCACAACCAAGATAATATCATTTGTAAGGCTTTCAATGCCTTGATCTGATCTGAAAAAAAAAAATTTAAGAAGCCCATTTAGCTTTTAAGAGGGCTTTTATTAGCATTTTTATTTTGTTCCTAAGAGGAAATATGAGATCTTTTTCATGAATGTTCCAAGCATTTAGTAATAATGTTATGAAAATCATCACAATGATTCAAGTATTTTTTGTACACGAATTTACATTTAAGAGTCAAATTAAAACCCATGAAAATTAGAATAAGGTAGTGATCAAAAGTTAGAGTCTGAATAAATATGTAAGAAGATAGGTGGAAGGATCAATCCATGAGTTATTCCCCAAGGCTCTATAAAGTAAGCATTTAATAGGGTTTGGTTTGTTTTCGTCAGAGGTAGTGTTAGAGAACAAAGAGGGTGGGTGGTGATGTGGGGCATTGGTTGATATGGCTTCTAAAAGCTAATGAGCTTCTGGAACAACTTCTTTCTCTATGTAAGGAAATGACATTTTTGCCTTTTAAATTTGTGGATTTAAAGTAGAATTTTGGTTCATGGGACAATGTATTGCAAGATGTACATGGTTGGGGCCTCCATTTTATAAATAGAGCCCTAATCCTCTCACAAGAGGAGATCTAGACTCTAAGCAAGAGGAAAACCAGAGCATGCAAAAGAGAGAGATGCAACCCAACATCCTACATTGCAGATCCGACCAACTCCGGCCATCATCGCCTCAGGTCGTCACAACTGCTTCAGGCCAACTCCGGCCACTGTTGCCTCTGGCCAACTCTTATCACTGCAACCTCCGGCAAATTTTGGTTACTGTTGCCTCAGACAAACTCTGGTTACTGACACCTCCGGCCAACTCCAATTGTCGCCTTCGACCACCACTTTAAGCCAACTCTGGCTGCCAACCGTCCTTACCTTCAGCCAACTCTGGTCGCTGACGTCTCTGTTGTCTCCACCGCCTTATGCTAACTCTGATCGCCAACCACCGACCACCATTGGTAGCCACTCACTCTCTAACGCGAGACAAGTTCTTCTATGCACAAAAATTGTAATCCTAGAAACTGTGTAACTATTTTCAGCCTTTGGGACAAGGGGTTGTACAGTAATTACCAACTCATAATGGAAATTGGGCATGAGCCCGTGGTTTTTTCCTTTTTGGGTTTTCACGTAAAAACTTCGAGTATCCATATAGATTATCTTCTTTCATCTGAATGTGTGATGGATTCTTATGCCACTCTAAGGACTGTTCGGCACAATACTTTAAAAAGATTTTAATTTAGATTTAACTTAAATTCAGTCGAACACCATAAATATGCTAAATAAATCTGACGTTAAGTTAAATCCAATTTTTTACTTGTTACGTTTATTAAATCCGGATTTACTAAATTCACTTATTAGTTGGATTTAACAGATTTAGAGCAGGAAAATAATATTTCAATTAGATTTATGTTAGACACCTCAAATGGATTTAACATGATTTAACTTTAATTGAACCCAAACATTATTTTAGATTTAAGAAATCCAGATTTACTAAATCCTATATAACTAATATTGTCCTTACAACCAAACAATCCTAAGACAATAATTCACTTCTCTATTGCCGTGAATTTCTTAGCACGCATCAAAACTCATGATATTACTTTTTATGATATCATTCCCTAGGTTTTATTAAGAATTGTTGATGGATCACAATATAATGACTAGCCTTAATTGAAAAGTGCTTTTGCATCATCAAAAAACATAATTAACTGTAGGGGCTTCTATTTATGAAGAACCTCAAACCTAGGATCTTCAAATCCCTGCAGAATGAGGGTGAAATCTTTGGGTAGTTTGTTATCTAAAATTTAATCCAGAACTTCATGTGAATCTCTCTCCTCATTCATTTCGATGGAGGCTAAGGCGTGAAGGTTTGGAGTTCACACACAACAAGAGTACAAATTCAATTAGACAATTATTGTGATAAGAATTAAAAGGATGCTAATTGGTAGACTACAACACAATGATTGATGTTTTTAGTTTCCCTACCCAACAATCGCTAACATATTATCACCTATTCCTTGTTGTATTGCTTCTGGTTACCACTTCACTTTACCTGTTAGTCATTGCCTCAACATACTCACTCCCCAATAATCTTTAAGAATTGAGCATTAAAAATAAAGTTATAACTTTCCTCAATGACGTGTTTAATATTTTGATGCATATTCATTAAAATGATTCACAGTTGTCGAAGACTACTTTCATGAGCGAGCAAGACCTAATTCTTTCACTATATTATTTATATCTTGTTCGAACTTTTATTGCCAGCATTTGTGGCTAAAATTTATTAAACGTGATGGATGAAGATGCGTTTGTTATTTTTATTTTAAACGTGTTTGACTTTTGTTTCTTATGGTAACTAACGTGTTTGACTTGTGTTTGTTAAATTTATTTTAAACTTGATTTTAACATGATTCTTTTGGTTTAGTTAATGTTTTTTCACCCCTATTTTAATGTTACCTTCTAAATTATTGTAAGAGAAACAAAGAACTTACCCTCCATTTGAGATTTAGGATTTGTTTGGGACAATTGCAGTTGTTTGAATAAGTACTCATGGCGTTATTACTGAAGAAATTATTGTTCAAAAAACTACAATACTTATTGTATGTTTTTTTTTTTTCGTCAGTCACTGTACTTTAGTTAGGTAAAGTTGTAAAACACAATTTTTTCATCACAATTTTTTGAGAAAGCAGGCACAAAATTATTTTCCCAAACACCCTAACAATATGGTCCTGATTGCACTTCGACACCATTGCTGCCCTTACTGCTAGAAAGTCACCCTTACAATCACCCATGAGAGTATTAGACACATATTTCTTTCTTTTTTTTTTCCAAGAGTATTCATATATCTTCATATCACATGTATTAAAAAAGGGACAAAAGCTATAGAGACAGAAGATTTAAAAGATAAAACTCTAAACTTATTAATTTTATTATTTTTTTCAAAATAAGTAACAATCGAGCTAAAACGTATAATCACAAAGATAAAAATAGAGAAATGACACACTCACGCCATGGCCCGGTTTATACATGAGCCACAAATGAATCTTCAAATATGCACACCGTCCGCAAATAATAATTTCTTTAGGGGCATCATTTTGGCAGAACATACTAATTTCCTATTAAAAAAAACTTAAATTAGATAGCTTCAGCCGCAAAGCTTGCCCAGAAGATTATTACATTAGCCAGAGTCAACAAATTAACGAAAAAAAAAGGATGTGTGCAATAGTGTCTCCCTAC